ATTTTGGTATGGCTATTTAGACTAGTGAAATCTTAGCTATCAGCCGGTCAAAGAACCTGAATTCTTATTCATGTATTTTAATAAGTTTATGTTTTGATATATTTTTATACATTTAATTCTTATTTGAATGATTTTTTTTACTGATTATTGTAATTTAGCATGTTAAGAACTTTGATGGATTATTGAAGTATTTTGAGCATAAATTGGATAGAAAATAGGATCTTGCACATGGACGTGCATAATGGGTAGCACAACCTAGAGAGATTAAACTTAGAGAATTTTTTAAGAGACGTGCGAAGAGAGAATTTGAATTTTAAATTTGGCAAATCATATCGCTTTTGATACATCGTATCTTTATTAGAGATAAAACTTATCTGTTGGAAGTAACAACTATTATCTCTTAATATGACTTATGCATCTTTTTGACAACTTGAAATCTTAGTTTTGGTCAATTGCTAACGACTATTAGATCTTTGAGAGTATGTCTTGAGATCTATAACTTTTTGTCTCTTCTCTATTAAAGATTTTTCTAATTTGTATTTACTTTTGAATAACTATGAACTGATTTATTATAATTTTAGTTTTATATTATATTATGTTTAACTAAATCTATATGTAGAGTTATAGTGAATCATTTGTATGACATTATGAGATCTTTGTTATTAATGATAATTTTATGTTTCTTTTCTTGATTGATTTTTATCTTATTGTGTTATATTTGTTTGTTCAAAATTGAAAATTCTTAAACACACCATATTTAATTATATTATAAGCGATTATATCACATATAGTTAATTGATCTATAGATAAAATGAGACAAATGATTATGTAGACCAAACTTATTCTTCTTTTTCAATAGTTTTTAAATTAACAGCTCGTAAATTCTTTATACTTTCTCTTCCTTTTACCTTGCATGATCATTGGAGGTAATAGCTTAAGAAAAAGACTGTTAACACTGTACGACTATTGAGTGCTATAGATTTAGTATGAGTGACTGACAATTATAAGGAAATTAAAATAGAAATTAACCTAAAAGGAAACACAGAGAAGTGTAAATGTGAAATCATATGTCCTAAGTTCTTCTTGATCATTTTATTATCAAAGGTTGCGCTATTTTAATGCTTTTAAATTACTTTTATATTTAAACCTTTATTTTATTTAATTTTACATCCTTTAAATTCAAACAATTGAATTAAGATATTCTTAATACTTGGAAATAATTCTTATGAGACGATATTTCAAGTACTTATTTTAGAATTTTTTTATCACTTTTCAACGAATACATTTGCCCATAAACATATTCCTATGTTTTCATCTAAACCTAGTAAGTATAATTTTGTTAGTTTATTTGATAAAATTAGGGGAAAAAAATTAACCTTATGAAAAGTTAACTCCTTATATGTGGCAACGAAAAAAGTCATTCTAACTCAATCTAGCTTGATGAGTAGTTCTAGTTATATCTTACAAACTCAATTGATCCCCTTCTCTGTATGTGAGAAAATTAATAAAATTTGTAAACAATTTATTTGAAGTTTTTTACAGGCTAAAAAGTGTTATCTAATTTGTTAGCATAAGGTTTGTGTGCCAAGGAGAAGAGAAGTCTAAGTTTTAGATATATTCATGATCTCAACTTGACTTATATGATGAAATTTGGGGTGAAGATTTATTAATTCTCTAAATGAATTATGGTCCCAAACTCTCAAAATGAAATATAGATTTCAGGTTGGTAATCATTTAATAATAGATATAAATAAAAAAATATCTAATATTTGAAAAAATACGAGTCAAATCTAGCCTAGGATGTATAAATGTTTGCAATGAAAAATCAAGAATGAGAGATGCTTACTAAGTTTTGGATAGCCAACTAGGTCCCTAAATTTAGGAATCTTAAAATCCATGTTGTTTTTCCCTCAAGTTGTTGATCTTGATCTCAAAATTAGATTTGTTTTCCCTCCTTATATTTGTGCTTGTATAACTACTATCATTCCCCCTAAATTAAGGGTTGTGTATGATATTATACTATGATCATTAACATCTAATGGTGAGTTTTTTTTTATTATTAAATCTACTTATACTATGTTTATAGAAGTCAAAATCTTGATAATTTAATGTGTGATTCTTTTAAATTAGTGTGAAATTGGCCGAAACATCCTAAAATTAAACATTTATTATAAAAAATTACTTATAGTAAGTTACTTATAAATGAAGAACAAAAGTGTAGAGGTATGGTTGGTTTTGACTTGTTTCCAAGTTGTCATTTTGTTATAGAATTTATCATGCATGTATTAAGAGACTATTTTTATGCTTTTGAAGTTTGGGATCATAGTATTTTCAAATCCCAATGGTGCATATTTATTAGCTCTAGATTAGGTAATTTGGTTGATTTTAATATGAGAATTATCAAAATTAACAATCATATTCATAATCATTGGAAATTAATTTTTGGCATTACTATTTGAAAAATTTGGAATGATTATAATTCATTTGTTTTTTGTCAAAATTCTATATCTCCTACTGTTCCAAATTAGATTATATGCTTCTTATTTGATTTCCATTGTCACGAGGGCTAATTCCACTCTCTAAATGGTTTGCAGGATTTTGTTAATGCCAAATGGTATCCTCCTAGTCATGACTAGTTAAAATCAAATGTAAATGAATCTTGTTAATTGAAACAGGTGTTACAACTTGTGGGGTCTCCTTTTTGTAAAGTAAGAGTTGGTTTTCCCATCGAAGCTGAACTTTGGACTGTCTTCTTCAATTCACAGTTAATTAAGGCCATGAGTGATTAGCATCTCATCTTAGAAGTTGATTCTAAAGAAGTTCTTGAAATAATTTCTTTCATTCTAGTGTATGATGTCTATTTCAATGAATCATATCCATTGTATTCATGTATTTCTTAAAATTAATCATTGTACATATATGTTAATTATATCACTAATTGTATTATTTTAGAGAAGTCTCATGCCGGAGCCATAAATGAAAAGTAATGAAATATTAACAAAAACAAATAAGAAAGCTGATTAAATACCGCCTTTTCCTTCAAATTCAGATAATTTTACTACTATTCTTCCTAATTATTTAATCATTTCTTAATTATATTTTAATTAATGAGTTTTTCGTACATTAAACATACATAGTTCGAGTATTATTAAATTAAAAAAAATTATATATATGTAATATGATTATTTTAAAAGTTAATAATTTTAAAATATAGTAAATTATATTATATTAAATAGTTCATGATATTAAGTAGTTAAGTTAAAAGGACATATTTTTTAAAAATAAAATAAAATAAAATATTCCTTTTAAAATTGATAGTCATATATATATATATATATATATATATATATATATATATATATAATTGTTGATACCATATATAGTCAAAATCCAGGTGATTCTCACGCTCCAAAATAATTATATAATTTAAAATCAATTTAATTTTTCAGTAATATTAAATTAAGATTTATATGTATATAAATAGGAATGCAATTAATTACACTTCAATTTTAGTAAAAATAATTAATTGGAAAATTCCAGATTTTACCAATTTCGGTCAAAGCAAAAAATGTAACCAAATTAAGATTCTAGGGAAGATAAGATTAAACGGCAGTTACTTATTTCATTTTTTAATGATTATAATTTTTATAAATATCTATTACTTAAGTTTTTATTATATTTCTTATTTGTTATGTTATTAATGTCCTCATTTGTTTATTTATTTTTTATGAAACAAACATTAATAATTAAGGATAAATAAATAGAATATTAATTATTTATTAATTTTATAAACTAATAATAAGTGAACAAAATAAATTTTCTGAGAAAGGGAATATACCAATAGATTATTTTAGTCCGCCACCTTTTCTCTCTGGCTTGATTGGTTTTTGCCCGGACAGTCCTATCACTTATATTTTACGCCATTATATATATATATATATAAAGGTGAAAGATATTCTTATATCAGTGAAATAATAAATTAATTTATAAAGGTGAAAAAGTTTTTAGACTTATATTAGTGTAAGAAGATATATATATATATATATATATATATATATATATATATATATAAATATAATTTTATGATTAATATAATTTACTAAGCACTTCGTTTAGGAGTTATTTTAATTTAATTAATAATTTTGAATTCAAATTCTTAGAAATACACATGATATAGACAAAAACATTGTTATTTATTATTTTTATTATAATTGATAAAAATAAGATAATAATAACAAACAATTGTTTATGTCAAAATAGTAATATAGACGTTCGAGTAAAACTGAGTTATACAGGTAATGCATACCATGCCAACTCATTAGTAATTTGGTATGGATGGTAACTTTACAATTATTTTTTTTAAAAATAATACAAATAAATGAATCTATTTCATATTAAGAAACTAAAGATTTATATTTTCTAAAAGGATAAAATATATTTTTATAATCACTAATTAAAAAAATTTGTTATGATTATGGTTAAGTAAAAATAGAGTCTATCTCTTTAATTGCTTTTAATATAATAAAATAGAATCTTCATTGTTAGTATTGAAAACATCTCTAACAGAAAGAAAATCAATGGAATACAAATCTTAGTTGAAAAAACTACATTAAAAAATAATAAAATAAATAAATTATACTTAAAATGAAGATAAGGATGAACCAACTCATTAAATATATATCAATTAATATTTGTAAAACATTAATAACATCCATTGTGGCAAAAATTGCTATGTAATTAATTAATATATTTAAAAAATAACAGCTGGTTAGTAAATGTGAAAGGTTATTCATATATAAATATAAAAGTAAATAGGGAAGGTGTTAATAGCAATAGCATGCCACATATCTCTCATGCTGGCATTCAACGGCTTCACACAAAAGGCAGCCCCACATTAGTTGTCATACATCATCTCTCACACCAATTGCTCAACATATCACTCACTTTCATTTTCTCTCAAAGCATTTTCCTGGAAAAAGCAGCCGGATTTGAATTGAAGGATGGAACAAGCAAGGATGAGGAAAAAAGTAAGAAAGAAGGAGGAGGAGCTACCGGATTTCATCAATAACCTCCCTGATGAGATCTTGTGCATGATCCTTTCTTTGCTTCCAGTTGATGAAGCTGTGAGAACTGGAATCCTTTCCAAGAGATGGAGGTCTCTATGGAAGCATACTTCACGCCTTGATTTTGATGTGAAGCATATGATACATCCTTTCTCAGGGCTCAACAAATCACCATATGATCATTTGCTTCATATTCTTGATATGGGCAAGGTAGAAGGAACACAGCGATATGGTATACTATTCTTCTTGATCTTAAGACAACACCTTAGTGACTTGACTAGCTGTCGTTTTCTTCATTTGCCTGATACGGAAGTATGTGATTGGGTCCAGTATCTATTTGAGAGAAAGAAAGGCCTAAAAGATCTATCCCTAGAATGTGAAGAATATGGTGGGATATCGAAACGGCGATTTCCAAGCACAAAATGTTTTAGGGATATCCTTTCTTCCTTGAGGTCACTTGAGTTGACTTCTTACTTTATTAGAAGTACATACGCATTTAGTTCTTGCAATAACTTGAGAACCCTTAAACTGAAGAGAGTTATAATGCCAGATGAAATCATTAATGGGATTTTAAGAAGTTGTGTGTCTTTGGAAAATTTTAGTCTAATTAGATCTTATGGGTTCAAAGAAATCAAGATCAATAATTCATGCCTAAAATTCTTGGAGCTCAATTATTTGAGGGTGGATAACATGGAACTTTATGCTGAGAATCTTGAAGTCCTGGTGTTAGATTCTTTTGGTTGTTATGCGAGCAATCTGGTACTTGTGGCACCGAACCTTAGGGTGCTCAATTGTTGTCGCCGTCAATGCGTCCCAGAATCGTATGATGTACTGAAATACCATATACTTTTGGAATATTGTAGTGATTTTTGGGTAAGTTTTCTCGAGACTTGGCTTTTTAATTTTTATCATATGAAGGCATGCTATTTTGAATTTGACATGAATACAAGGTTGTTTCAGTATGTTCTATTTCAACCGTATATTTCTTTTTATTATTTCATATAGGAATCCAAAAGGAGTATCATATGTGGAAAATTATCTTCCTTGTCAATTGATTTGGATCTGAACAATGTAAGGGAGGCTCTTTCAATTTCAAACATTTTACGTTCAAGCATTGAACTACGATCTCTCAGGGTCTTTATACCACCAGTATGTGACATTAACCTTGTTAATTTTCATTTTGTAAGTCCTACTTGAAATAGAAAAATATAATATTCTTAGACAAAGTTTTATAATGTGATCATTGTTATGTTTGGTATGTAATTGTTTTATAGGTGAACGGAAATGCAAACCTTGAAACATCTAGCATTGCTGTTAGGGATTTGCTAGATCTCCACAACTTTTTGGGAGGAAAAGAAATTTCCAATTGTACCCGTCACAAACTCAAGTTTCTGTGTATAGAGGGATTTACAGGAACAGAACTGGAAGTACAAGTTATAAGGTACTTGATGCTAAGTTCCAGCAAATTGGAAACGATCAACATATTCTGTGGTAGCTCAATGGAAGATACACATGAGTTGTTATCACTGCAAGGCGCTTCAATGAATTTCACTATCAAGTTGATGGTTGCAAAACGTTTCCTGTGATTGAGCTTTGGTGAAGTCCAAAACAAGTAGTTTATAATTGTCTATGCTTCAAATGAAGTCAGATTTGAACTATGATCTAATGTTGAGTACTTAAAAAACTGCATTTTGTGTAATTTTTTTCTTGAGTTTTTAACTTTCAATTAATGGGTTTGTATACCCTACTATATGGTGATAAACCTGACCCTTGAAATTATAATAGAGTATGTGGTTGTTTCATATGATTTCTATATGCACGATTGTATTCATTTTTCTTTTATTTCTGGTTATAATCTATCTATCTATCTATATATTTGGGCAATCAAATTAATATAAAGAATTAATGCTTCGCATTTGTACAAATAAGATATATTTTAATGAGAGTTATTGGATTGACATACATTCTTCAACTACACCAACTACGCTACTGTTTTTAACTATGAATACAGATTCCACGGGGCTGGGTTTTGCTGGTAGTAAAGTCATGAGAACAAGGACATCTCTGTGTTTTGTAGTTTTATAGTTAGTAATATTAAAATGATAGTTAGCAGTGTCTTCTTTTATAGGCATTTTGTAAGTTGTTTTCTCTCCCAGCACGAGACTCCGTCGCTTCTTGTGTCATTGGTAAAATTAAAATGATTGGCCAAATTTGAGAGAGCGAGAGAGAGATTTTAGAAATGAATCGGTTCTAACTCGTACTCTCAAACACTAATTTAAGAGAGAAAAATTGTTCAAACTTACGCAGTCTTTTTTAAGTATTTTGTTCATATTCCTAGTTAATTAATATGAACAAATTTTAATACATCTTTCTTATATTATTTAATATTCGATATCAAACGTTTGAAGAACTTCGTAGGGAAGGCTGAAATATCATTTTAAAAATAAACAGAAACTAATTCATTTTTAAAAGCTATCGTTTAAAAATAAAAAGAAAATTTATCCAAAGTTTAGAAAGCGTATTTTGTCCTTGCTCTTACTCAATTTGACATTTCAAAAAGTAAGGCTGAGCAAAAAATTAGCAAAAAATTCAGACGTGGAGATCCAATGCATAACCAAAACTAAATTAATTTTAAAATTTAAATTTTTAATAAAATCAAATATTTAGATTCACTTTATTTTTTATCTGAATTTAGACTAAATTTTATTTATCAAAATTAGTTTGTTTTGGAAATAGTAAACACATTCTCATGTTACTTCATTATAAGTTAAATGAAAGACTTAAATAAAGTTAAAAAATTTTAAACTTACACTAATTTAAAAAGATAATTTAAATTTAAAGGTCGATGAAGTAATAAATTTTAATTCGTTATATTTAAATTAAATGAAAGATTTAAATTGAGTGTAAATTTTTTTAAATTTACACAAATATAAAATGATCTGCCCATATATATATATATATATATATATAAAAGATGTAAAATGAGAGACAGTGTAGGAGTACTACATGATAAACCATGTTCTGTTACTTTATATACTTTTTTAATTTTTTTTTATTAAACATTTCTCTTGATTTGCTAATACAATTTAGTTAAAATTAATTAAATCATAACAAAAAGTTGTTGAAACAAGTTAAAATTTAATGAATTTTAAATTTTAAAAGATCTAAATTTTGAATTTAAATATAGACTTTGAATTTAATTTTTTTAAATAGAAATTTTGGAAAATTACAAAAGAATACCTCTCTTTCTCTTTACTTCCAATTTTATTCTGTGATTTCTCTCCTTTTCTTTTTCTTTTATCAATTTGCTTTAATTTCATTTACTTTCAAGTCAAAACTCCCATCAGTTACGCTCTTTAATATTCAAGAAATATTATTTATAAGTGTTTGTAAATATAGCAGGACACAGAAATACAATTTAATGAGTTAATACACTGATCTGAAAATACTATAATGGGTCTCTTGCCTTTAAACTTCACTTAACTCAACCGGTCCTATTCCTTAACAATACTCTGCCTGTTAAGATGACATAATTAAGTATTTATTTTTTTATTTTTTCAAATTTATATTTAGTTTCTAATATTTTTAATAGGATATAATCTCTAATTTTTGAAACTATTAAAGATTTGTTTCTAATGTTAACTATTTTCTATTAAATAATGAATTAGATGATAGAAGTACAACTCATTATTATCATGTTTATATTGCATAAAAATTCTTATATTTATATTATTTTTAAAATAATAATTAATTTAAAATGTTTTTATTTTCTTTCCACCTCGTTCATCACCACGCGCTGGCTCAACTTCGTCACCGCCATGGAACTGTAATCCGCAGAGGAACCGTTCTCAAACTCTAACCCTTCTCTAGCTTCCTCCTTAATCATGAAGAGCATTCTCGAAGGACCATTAAGGCGCCACTGCTCAAGTCTAGCTCCACTTCACGCTCCCTATCATCGGGAGAAGATGAAGAACACAGAAGAGAAGCTTCTTGTGGTTTGACGCGCACACGTGGACGAAATCTTTGACGGTGTTGCCACAGCACGTACACGATCTCAGCGGTAAGTGCTACGAGAATAACAACGTTTCTAACCAATCAATTTTTGCTTCTGCGTCGGTGATTTGTCATTTTCTCGCAAAACCAAAAAAACTCACAACATCTCCTCCACAGTATCACTCTCGACCTCTCCTTCAACAACTTCGCCAAATTCCGACCACCTCCAGCCTTTTGGTCGTCTCAAATTTCTCTCTTTGGTTAAAACATCTACACCTCCGTTTTAAGAAGTCTCTATCAGTCCATTCCAAATTCCACTTTTGAGTGCAATGATATAATGAGTTTTAAATATTTACCCTTTGTTAATGGATGAGAAGAAACATGTGTTTTTGTTTCAAAGAGGAAAATGATAACTTTAACAATTCAAAACCTACCAAATGGTTCGAGGATAGGGAAGAAGTTGTCAATGAGGTAGTGAAAGTTGGAGAGGAGGAGTTGCTGCGATGTTGCATATTTTTTAGCAGTGGAGACTCTGTGACCCGTTCCTCTAACTGGGATAGTAGGGAATAATTTAAGTGTATAGACACTCCCAACTATTAAAGAAAAAATAGAAAGAGAAAAATAACACATAGTATACTATGAAATATAAGAGAAAAATTAAAAATTAAATAAAATTAGTGTATATTAACTTGTATAAAATATTTTTCTGTGTATAAAAGATTTTTCTCTTACGAGACATTTAATGGGAAGATTTTCATTTATGCTTTTCAAGAATTTTAAGTTGAGAAAGTTAATTTTCATGTTTTGTATGAATAATTTAAAATAGATTTTCAACAAACTAATATCTGTATGATTTTTAATTAATTTTAAAAAAAATTCCAAAAAGATAGAAATTTTTTATAATATAAAAAATATAATCGTACGTCATATCTAAATATCATCTTACCTTATCGTTCTGTTTTATCATCTCTGCATAAATTTTATTATCAACTAACTAATATCTTGATTTTGTTTGGTCTCTAGCTTTTTTTATTTTTTATTTTAATCTCTTATAAATGTGTTTTAAATAAATTTTATTTCCTTAAAAATGTTAAATCAGTTAAAAAAATTAATTTTTATCTTTTTCTTTATAAACTTTGATAAAAATATAGTATATTTTGATGAATTTTTTAAGAGTCTCTTTCTTTATTTTTTGTTTTTTTTTCTTACCTCTTATCTATGTTTTTTAACTTATTTTTCTCCTTTTTGAATTCTAACGAAAAAATAATCTTTTCTTCTTTTTCTTTCTTTTGTCTACCTACACAACTTGTTTTTTTTACCCTTTTCTGAACTTTGAAAAAGTTTTCTATTTTTGGTTAATTTTCAGTTGAGTATTGAGAGTCCTAGGAGAAGATGCGAATCAAGGTAACAGTGACAACATTGAAGGGAAAAAATAGGAAAGATAAAAGATAGAAGAAAAATAAGAGGAAAGATAATCTTTTTGTAGCAATTCCCATGATGGAATATTACTAAAAATACAAAAAATACAAATAATTTTTTAAAAGTTTGTAGACAGATTTTAGAGCTACAGATGAATTGGAGCTGTTTAAAATTTTTTTGTCGTTAAATGAATATAGTAGATTTTTTAATTCATGTATAATTTATTTATTGTAGAGACATTAATGTAATAAGAGAAGGAAAAAAAATAAAAGAAATAATAAATCTCTTCAAGTTCAAAGGAAAAATGAGAGAAACATGAAGAAGTGAATGAAAAGTAAAAAAAAATAAAAGAAATTAAAAAATAGAAGAAATTTTTTTATTAGAGTTAAAAATCGAAGAGAAAAAAAAGTCGTAGAAAGCTAGACAATAATAAAAAGAAAAAGGTCAAAAAAAGTTTGACAATCTAAAAATTTGTTGAAGAATTATTTTTTATCAAAATTCAAAAAAAAAAAATAAACAATGATTTTCTAACCTACTTAATATGTTTTATGAAAAAGAATTTATTTAAAACATTTTGTGAGTTTAGGAATTAAAATGAGAAAAAAATCATTATTCTCATATTTTATATAATTTTAATTTTTCTACATAAAATTTTCATATTACAATTTTTTATATTATTTTCTTTTAGTATACACTTTTAAATAAGCATTGAGATTCTTAAAAAGTAATATTTAAACTAAATATAATAATAGAAATCATTGTATAATATTTAAAAAATATTTGAAACGTATTATATATATTTTAAATATTTTCTGAAAGCAAAATTAATTCCCCCCCCCCTCCCCCCAAAAAAAAAAAACTTTACAGGGAACATAATCTGCAAGAAATGAAATTATACACTGAAAATTCTCAAAACGTAAATGCTTGGATTAATGTAAATATAAAATAGATCAATATTTATTCATATAATAAATATATATAATATCATGTTTTTAATCCTTTTTTTAACCTTCTTATCTTGTAGTCTCTCTTCTTTCTATATCTTTATTTATTATATTAAATTTTTATACTGATATAATAAGTTTTGTCATATCCTTATGTATGTATTTTTTTTTTTATTATTCTCCTACCACTGTTTTATAAAATAAGTACCTTACCTATTTTTTATTTTTCAAAAAAGAAAATGATTAAGTTGTTCTTATATATATATATTTCACTATAATCCTTTTATTTTTAGAAAATTTTTAAGTACAATAAATAAAATAGAAAAAATAAAGATAAAATACAATAATAAAATAATAAAATATTTGAAGTAATTCTAATATTGCAATTGAATTTTATTTTTATGTCAATTGACTACTAAATAAAAATTAGAGTAGTATTATATAAAAGAGTACTACATTTATATTCCTAAAAATATAAAAAATATATTTATTTAATATTATAGAAAAATTTTATAAAATTAAAGAATAATAAAATATTGATATTTATAATAAAAAATTAATTGAAGATATTTTATAATAATATTAATGATATATATTTTTTACATACTTGTTTTAGCATCCTCTTTATATTATAAAATATATATCTCTTTATATTATAAAATATATGTATCTCACATCGTTTAGACCATAAGTCAATTTTACTGAAAATAAAATAAAATTATTATGAATAATAAAAAAATTTCCATAATTTTTTTTCACATACTTTCTTTAACATACTCTTTATATTATAAAATATATGTAACTCACATCATTTAGACCATAAGTAAATTTTACTGAAAATAAAATAAGATTATTATAAATAATAATTTTTTAATAAATATTTATCACAGTTTATCTAATAAATTTTAAGCTCAAAATTAAATATTAAAATATAAGTTTTTTCCGATTAACCTACGTTCCATGGTGGCGTCACTCCTATTTTAACGTCTCTCATTTGTATTTTTTTAATAAATCTAATCAATTAAAATATTGCATTAAAGACTGCATGTTTGGCTAGAATGACACGTGAAGCATTGTCATTACAGTATCATTACAGTATCCAACGGTCATAACAAGGTAAGACATAATTCACGGTCCTGATTCAGGTGTTCAACTACTCCTTAGTATGCGTTTCCTTTGCTTTCCAGATCATCACCTCATTAATTTCACTTTCAACTCCTAGCCTCCTGCGAAACCCGAGAATGTCATCCCCACTTTGCTTCGTTCTCATCCTCGTCTTCACCATGGAGCTTCTCTTCAACTTCATCTGGAAAAAATGGAGAAGAGTTCATCAAAAAGAAGATCGAATAAGCAAGCTTCCAAATCATGTTATCTCTTCCATCGTCTCTTTGCTTCCAACTGAAGAAGCAATCAGAACCAGCGTGCTTTCGAAATCGTGGAAGACCTTTTGGAGCAACGTTCCTCACCTCGATTTCAATCAGAATCGCATGCTAGAGCATGCGTTTAAACGATGGTTTGAAATTTCTCGTGACCCAAAAACTTCTCAAGAAAAATTGTATGCTGCTTATGATCTGTTGATGTTTCAATTTGATGATGCTATTAAGTCTATTGAGAAGGTTTTGATAAATCATCGTGGGGTGTTAGAACGATGTAGGATCGTGCACATCACGGATAGTTGTAGAAATGGTGATGTAGTACAGTTGATCAGATATCTCGTGACTGTGAAAAGAGTGCATGAGTTGGATATGGAGTGCAAGTACGTAGAACCTTGGGATCAGATTGAATTTTATAAAAACTTAAAAATTGATGATGTTCCTATTCAAGTTGCTGCGCCGCCCACATTAAATATATGTTTTCATATATTAGCTGCATGTTGTGTTGTGCTTAAATTGACAAATTATGTGTTGAAGAGTGCACCTCCTTTGCGGGTTTGTGAGAATTTGAAGATCCTGAAATTAAAGAAGGTGTGGCTGTGTGATCGGTTGTTTGAAGGGATTCTCTTGAAATGTGTTTCCTTGGAATATCTAAGCCTCATTGGATGCAAGCACTTGAAGAAGCTCAGGATTCATAGTGCTAGTATTAAATTTCTGAAGCTTAGAAAAATGACATTGCATAAGATGCAAGTTGTCGCTGTCAACCTTGAGGTTATAGTTCTGGATACATTGGTTATTTGTCAATGGAAAGAATGGAGTGTTAATGCTCCAAACCTTGAACTCCTTCATGTCTACTACGGTGATCCAGCAGCTCGAGGGATGACTAAACTACGAGTTCGGAGAGTCCTTCTAACAACAAGAGTGGTTTTGCAAAGAATCACTAATATTGGGGTATTAAATAATACTTCTTTTAATACTCTTCAATTTCTTTTCCCGTTTTCTCATTTTTATTTTTTTCCCATTTTCACATAGATTATCATTTATTATTTTAAGAAGAACAAAGGTTATGTCTTTATACAGCAACAAAAGTTGTTGTTGTAACTGAAAAAAATTCGGTAACTAAAACGGTAAATTTGGTTGCAAAAATATTTAGCAACCAAGATAGCAATCGACCAGATTCGATGGCTAAAACGCTGGTCACAATCATTTTTAATGATGAAAAATGAATTCTTAGAAATTTAAAATTAGCGACTGCAAAATCTATCACACAAAAATGATTTTGGTCGCAAAAAATTCAGTTGCCAATCGGTCACAAATTCATTGCAAAACTACGATCGAAAAATCGTTCACAAATTTCGGTGTTAATCATTTTCTTCTTCTTGTGTTACGTGTCACTATACACATTATATATGTCTCTAATTTAAGGCATTAAGATTTATTAATTGTGCATTAGGTTCTATCTCACTTCGCACTATACACATTATATATGTTTCTAATTTAAGGCATTTAAGATTTATTAGTGTGAATTAGGCTCTATCTCACGTTTTTCTCTTTTTGTCTTCTTCTGGCTTCCCAGGGTTTCGTTCGCGCAAATCCTCTACAGAATCTGGTAAGTTTGAGCATTGATTTAGATTTGAATGGAGAAAAAGATAACACCGCTCTTTATTTGGCGCTTAAATTATGCAATTCATTAGAGAGACTTGAGATCAACAATAAGGTTTGTCTATTAGTTCTATAGCTACACTCTTTCTGATTTTTGCCTTCGCATTGTTAATTTTGATCTCACTGTTTAATGGAGGAAAGAGATGCGTAATATCTAGCCAGCCCATGAATAAAACATACGTTATAGGCTTAGTACGAGCATCGAAAGTCACAATCAATGATTTAAATTTCCTGTTCAAAGCCACATTAGTTACATTTGCACTTTTTATTTTATTTTATAATTTTATTAATCAAAGTACAATAGCTAGTGTCTTGTTAATCTATTGCTGTTGGATGTACTATGCGCTAGAGTATCGCTTGTATTCTTGTATATATATATATATATATATATATATATATATATTATAAACAAATTTATACATTATATGTTGTAATATTTTGGATTTTATTATTAAAATTTTATTATACATATATAAAGTTGTAACATGTTTTTGAAAAACATGTTAAAAAAAATATTCCTGGCGCTGGTCAGTCCTTAGTATTAATGATGAGTACTCTACTAAAGGTTATGTCCATATATTTCAGGATTACTACAGCTCGCAAATATTTTCGGTTACCGATTCAATATTTTGGGAGATAGGAGAGCCATGCATCTGTATTTGCCAAACGCTGAATACAGTTCGCATAAGGGGATTCAAAGGGAAAGTGCTTGAACTGGAATTTGCCAAGCACTTGATAAAGAAAGCTACAAGGTTGACGAGAATGACCATCTTTTTTGTTGATAATTGTGCTCAGAATTTGTTCAGTGCTGCAACGATTTCACTTGTGAGGGCCTCAAAAGATCTGGGCATCACTCTGGTGACCGCAGGCGGTGAAGAGGAGTAATGCCAATGTTCTTGGAAGCTTGGGTGTAGTTATTTCTATGTTTTCAACCCAAACATTGGCTTTAGTTATTTCTATGTTTTGAGTAGCTTTGAGTAATTTGGACAAATTTCCTTGGACCGAAGTTTGTTTCAGAGTACCGTTTATTGCATGTTTCAGATGTTTGGTGTGCTTTCAAAACAAAATTTCTATGACATCTATGTTGATTATTGTTAATTAGAAAAATGCATGCATGCAATCGTCTATATGCACATGTGTGAGGTGGTAAAACATATTTTCTTTCTTAGATTAATTATCAAATGTTTCATAATGTTGAATAAATGTCTGTTAGATTTATAGTTGAAGTGTTAATTCTCGCTTTTTTAAAAATAAAACATATATTTGTATAAAAATTTATAACTAAGATTAATTTTAACACATATCTCAATTTTATTAATAATTTTAAATTAATTACATCAAAATAAATACAGTTAAATTTTAAAACAATTGGGCCCAATTCATTTAAATGTTGCATTAACATAAATATTTTTGGATATCCACTATAATTTTTGTTCCATTAGTTTCTATGATTTTTTCACAAGATATATAAAAAAGATGAGTTGTCCAAAAATATTAGCGGGGATAGAAACTAAAAGGTACGTAATGCCATTCACTATTAATTTTGAAGCGAGATCAAGTCTTATCATGTGCATATTAATTGAAATTGGTTAGGATAGTCTAGATTTTTTTTTAGCTTTATAAGGTTTATTTAATAATTTTAAAGTAATATATTTTTATAGATTTTTCATTAAATGTAGTCTGAATTTTTAAAAATTTATTTAATTTATAACCTTTTTAATGGTATATTTTGTGTTGAAATTCTTAATAGGCTATTAGCTATCAAATTATATAAATAACTATGTTTTTATAAAGGTTATAGAACTTATATCTAAATAAATAATGAAAAAAAAGTTCATTATCTTAAATATTTATAATAAAATTATATTTTTATTTATCCCTTTCAAATCACATATTTAATTTAAATAAATAAATTACAAAACATATATTAAATACAAATGCAAATCATAAGATAGAATAAATAATAATAACACAAAAAACTGTAGCAATGTACTCTATAAAAAGATATATAGTAGAAATATTTTTTAACTCTAACAAAAGAATTAGACAAAAGTTTATTTATTTTATTTAATATATTATTATTTTTATAAATTTTAAATAAGTTTATTTATCAAATTTAATAGACTTTTTTTAAAAAAATTTAAGTCTCACTTATTTAATTAATTAAATATTTTAAAAAAATTAAATTAAGTTTATTATTTAAATAAATTAAATTATATTAAACTTTAAAAGGATAGATGTAAGCTTATGTGAGACAGTTTCAACTATTTCTATCTCAAATATTAACTATAATTATTATTAATTATATATATAAAAGAATATTTAATTTTTTTCATATCTAAAGAAATTTATTGAAACTTGAGTATTAAAAGAACTCAAATATTTTTTAAGGTGTTGAAATCGATGATAAAGGAGATTGTTACTATGCAATAAAATTTTTTATGGAAAGGTGTTAAGAATGAATCTAAAATTTTCTAGGTGAAATGGGAAACGGTATGTAGACCGTGGAAGAATGGTGGCTTAGGCATTAGGAATGTGCAGTGGTTTAATTGAGTGCTTCTTAGTAAATGGTTGTGACGATGTATTAATTGTTCTAGTTCATTGTGAGTGCGAGTATTGAAATTTGGGTATGGAAGATTAGCTTCTTCTATTCAGCGTTCATTAGTCAACAACAAATGTTCTTTGTGTTAGCGTGATTTGCTGGAGGTTATTCATCAAGGAAATTCATGGCTGGATGAGAAATTTGATAGGAGTGTGGGTGCAGGTTTACACACACTTTTTTGGAGAGATAAGCGGGTAGGTGGAATGTGATTGCGTGAAGCATTTCCGCGATTGTTTGCGGTGGTAAGGAATGCTGAATCATATGTATTGAAAAATAGTTTTCATGATGGCACTAGGTGGATTTGGGATATTAGTTGGCGAAGAGGACTCTTTCAACATGAGATCTCAAACTTTAATCTTTTGTTGGAGCTTGTGGATGAGGTTTCTATTAAGTTACTATAAGAAGATAAATGGGTATGAAGGGAAGATTCTTCAAGTTGTTATTCAGTGCAATCTGCGTATTCATAGTTGTTTAAACTTTTTGGTGGTCATAATAGTGTAAATCACTGTACGGCAGATGCCTTGCAAAGGCTATGGAGAGGGAAGGTATCTCTTAAGTGTCTGGTATTTTCTTGACAATTGTTTGAATGCACTTCTTTATGAAGGTTTCCTGATTGATCGTGGTGTTCAAATTAATGATATAACTTGTTGTTTCTGTCATGATTTGGAAGAACTTTCGATTCATTTATTTTTAACGTGTTCAGTTTCATCTCAAATCTGGTACTTTAATGCGCGTTACCTTGAAGTCTCATTAGTTTTACCTTAAAATTTATCGACTCATTTGCTTTCTTGAGTTGGTGTTAGCTGTAGTAAAAAAAAAAGGGATATACTTATTAATTGTTTGGGTAAGTACATTATTGTCTTTGTAGTTATATAAAAATAAAATTGTGTTTTTCAATGGTGTTTTGGATGAGAGGGAAGTCTTAAATTCTATTATTTTGAGGTCTTGAAAATAACTATCACTTGTTAGTAAAGAAGAAGTTATTTTGTTAACTGATTGGTATTTGAACTCATAAAATTGCATTCATCTTAACTTTGTATAAATATATTTTTGCTTTTTATTTTTCTTGGTAAGTAATTTTTTCTGTGTATATGAATTTTGAGTTCTCCTTGAACTCTCTTTAATAATATATGTTTTGTCGACTATAAAAAAAAAAAAAAAAAAACTCAAATCTAATACAAGTATTGTCACCTTACAGTGGCTCAATAGTGTTACAAATGAAAAGGCAATATCCTCCCTGTAAATTCAAACAAATACAATAATTGAGAGAGTGAGTTACTGGTTCCGTTCAGATGCAGATAATGGAAAGGGAAGCTTGATGTGTTATGGCTGGATTTGAGAACCAAGTTCATTTGTTCTGGTGGTACGATGTGTGGGATTCCAAATGCGTAATTTGGAAGCTGTCTGAGGGTCGTGGTTTTTTTTTTGGTAAGTTTTGTATGTTTAGCTAGCAGAGAAGGTTGACTTTCAAGGCATGTATATTATTTTAAATGTATCTGAAATTAGTGCCCCATTTGGGGTACATGCCAAAGATTGGAGCTTTCGTTCATGAAATTTATGAAATTATTAATTATTTTTTAAATAATGAAATGAGATTTTATATTTTTGCAAAATTAATTTTTAAAAGTATAAAAATCATTTATAAAAAGTAATTTTAAAAATTGTAAAATCTTAATTTTGGAAATTTGTTCACTTTTAAATAATTTCAAAAATTGATGTGCGAAAGTATAAAAACCTAACAGTGAAAATATATTTGCAAAATTTTATATTACAAAACTTTTGGATTCAAATTATACATCTTTTTGAAACTAAGCCGCCAACTAAAATTCTTTTTAAAATACAAAGTGTGATAGTAATTGAAGATGTCTAATTTGAATTCAAAGAATAATTTAATAGTTTAATATTCTGTGCAATACAAATATATTTTAGTTTAAAATAAATATATAAATAATTTAATAATTAAAGAATAACTTTTAGTTATTAATATATAATTATTTTTTTTTAAAATGTATCAAATTAGACATCTTTTTGAAACTAAGCTACTAACTAAATCCAAATTATTTATTTTTATGCGACTCCTACAATAATTTTTTATTTATTTAAATAGCTCTTAATTTCTATGATGCACTCTTAAAAATTAACTTTTATGTTATAAATGAAAGTCTATTATTTAGAAAGTAAAATATTAATCAAGCTACTCTCCTTTACAATTTACAATATATTTATTATAGGATTAAAATTGATAGAGAATGATTCAAGAAATGTACTTGCTGTAATAATTTTATTTTTTTATCAACGTCAAATTTTGCTATAAATTTTAGAGATTAAAGTGGTTACTTAAATTTTTTTTATTACCTTATATAAATTTTTAGTAAATATATTTTTTATATTTATAAATATTATCTTTATTTTTTATTTTTTAATATTAAAATTAATATTTTTGTTTTCTAATTTTAGGATAAAATTTAATTTTATTATTTAAATTTTTTTATTTATTTTTGTCCTCAAACTTTATTAGTTTTTTGTATTAGTCCTTTTCATTAAATCTATTACATAACTTAACAAAAATATTTTAAGTAGTACTGAGATTACTTTAATACCATTTATTTAATCTAATAAGAAATTTTTTATTTAAAAAATTATTAAAAATAGTGAAGCTTTCTCCTTTCTATTTTTTTCCTCCTTCTACAGCTTTTCTAACCCATCAATCTTGTCTTCTCCTTCCACAACTTTTCCTCCCTTTTCTCATAGCCCCTCCTCTCCCTTCCCACAATCTTGTATTCTCTCCTCTTCCTCTTGTTCTATTTTAACTCTCTCAAACTTTCTTTCTCTCATCTCGTTTTCTTTTTCTCACAAGTTTTGATATCCTAAATCTCTCAAGTCCTTCAACTCTTTTTCTCGCAGAACAAAACACCCGTACACTACTATCCCAAATCTTATACCTTATGGACTAAAAATTAGAAACTTGAACGTTGACACATTTGTCCTCTTTCAACCATTTTAATTTTAAACAAGGTCATAATCATAGTCATAGTCACAATCATCATAGCAATAATTTTAAATAGAAGAATACATATATTTTTTCAATTAGAGCTAATATGATAGCTACTTTGGATGCTGGAGCTGCAACTAACATAATGTTAAATTGGTGACGGAAGGAGTAGCTACAAGTTTGTGACAAAGAAGAGAAGAAACTATCATTTGATTTTGGTAAATGAAATCATGTTTGTTAAATGGTTAAAAAATTTACAATGTGATTTTTTTCAGCGTCTACAAAACTAACTAATTACATATAGTCTTGGAAAAAAAAGAGGTTGCAGAGAGGAGGAAATAAGACTGATGGGTTAGGGAAAAAGGGGTGAAGGAGTTGCAAGAAAGAATCGAGAAGTTGCAGGAAGGGAAAAAAGGCCTGCAAAAGAGGGAGATAGGACTGGTGATTTAGGGAAAAAGGGGTATGAGAGCTACAAGAAAGGAGAGGGAAAGTTGCAAGAAAGAAAAACTGCAGGAGGAGAAAACAAAGTTGGTGAATTGGAAAAAAAGGGGTAGAGGAGCTACGATAAAGGAGAGGAAAAGTTGTGGGAAGGAGAAAATAGAGCTGTGAGAGGGAGAGACAAGACTAGTGGGTTATGAAGAAATGAGTGTGAGATCTGCCATAAAGGGAAAGGGAAGTTGTAGGGGAAAAGAGGTTGTGAGAGTGGGAGACAGGCTAGTGGGTTGGGAGAAAAGGGTGAGGGAGAGGAGAGAGGAAGGAAAAAATTTAACTATTTTTTAATAATTTTTTAAATAAAAAATTAAAAAAGGACTAACATAAGAAAAAAAAAGTTTAAGAATGAAAATGAAAAAAAAATTAGAAGATGAAATCGAATTTTACTTTAAAGTTAAGGGATGAAAAAACTAATTTTGTCTTTTTTAATTTAGATTTTATTTTCAAAATTTTTAGTAGTTTGTGTAATATATATATAATTTTAAAATAAATATATAAATAATTTTATAATAAAAAAATTAATTTTTATATATTTGTAAATAATTATATATATAGTTAGATTATTTTAAACAACAAAATTTAATGAAAATTATTTTAACCAAACTCTATAACTATGAATATTTATATTAAAATGATAAAAATATAATAAAATTAAATATTTTATTTTAAAATAATATATTTATAATAATAATAATTAAATATGAATATTATAATATATATATATATATATATATATATATATATATATATATATATATACTAATAGTCATAGAATAGAAAGTTTTATAATAACTTTGATTTCTAAAGTTTAAAATAAAATTAATAAAAATGTAAGAGACAGTACAATGTACAAATCATTCTAAGTCAATTTTAAACATGAAATATACACATTTAAAAGAGAGTAATCCTCACTTGTTTCACTTATTTAACAGTAGTGATTAATATATATTGATTATTTACATTTAATGAATTTTTTCATACTATATAATACAAGTATTAAATAAATTATTTTTTTAAATTATTTAATTTTATTAAATTTTTATCACATGCATGCTATTTATAGTAATAAAGTTAATTTAAAATAATTTTTTAAAATAAATTAATTTATTTAATTATTTACAAATTATTAATATATATATATATACATATTTATTTATTCTCACAAATTATTTCATAGTAACCATATTTAGTCTTCATGTCAGCTAGTCTACACCACACAGCCTTAATAAACATCAGTTACTTAATTCTTTTAAAAAGATAGTCAAACACCTCCATTGAAAATGTTCTAACGTAATAACTGATATTTTGACCATTAAATACATTATCTGGCTTAAAGTTTTTTATTTTTTATTTTTTATTTTTCCTTCAATTAATTGAACTTCAATTATAAATGGAGTGAATTCTTTATATTTAAATATATTTTTTAAATTTTCTTCTATTTATTAATTTTAATTAAATGGAAACTAAAATAATTTAAAATAAAGAGAAAGAGAGAGAGAACTTAAATATTTAAAAAGTGTGTTTAGTCAAACATAAAATAATTACTATTTCAAAAATATATTATTTTATATTTTTAAAATATTTTATATTTGCAAAATAAAAGCTTTAATAACAAATAAAAGTTTGTCTTTTTTAAAAACAAAAAATGAAATGAAATAAAACAATACTAATTACACATTTGTTTGCTCGACATCTTGGTAGTCCTCTGTTATTTTTGTGGTAACTTGAATATTATTTTTGTACCTTTTTACTTTTCATAAGCCATTTATCCTGTAAATTACGACAAAATATTGCTGAAAAATTTTGTTTGAATACAGAACAAACATCATCATCCCCGATGCCCTCAAGTTGATGACAATAAATATAAAAATAAATGTTACAAAGTGTCAGAGTTGGTATGAATAATAATAATAATAATAACAATAATAATAAATTATTATTATTATTATTATTATTATTATTATTGTAGTAGTAGTTGTTGTTTTTCTAATAGAGCACTTTTAAGAGTTACTTCTCTTCGTCATCATGTAAATTGATTTTATTTACATTAAATTTTTAAAAAAACTTAATACTAATTTAACTTTAAATTTTATAATTTTTAATTTAAAATTTAACTTTTTTTAAAAAAATCATCATAAAAAATTATTATTAATAATTTTAATATTTACTTTTTAATTTTATAAAATTTTTAAATAGCTTTACAATGTATTTGTAATTATTTAACTTAAAATTTAATAATACCCGTAGTTAGTATTATAGTAAGAGATTTAAATTTAAAATACACATTTATGAGTATTCATTAAATTTATTCTTAAAATAATTGCGTGACAAAAAAAAACCTTCCTTAAATTTATTGAAAATATATACAGTCATAAAGAAATGTCCATAAATGCAATTTCAAAGATAGGGTTGATAGTGAATGCTGGTATATTTTACAATAAAAAAGAAAAGCTTGTAACCTTCACCGAAAGCTTGTTTATTTAATGCCCCAATAGTGATTTTTTCATTACCATTTGCTGCAGAAGAGTCCAGAAATACTAAGCGTTATATACCTGTACTTCTCACCTCATTTGACTAAAAGTAGAAAAATGGTAAAGAAGACATGAATGGTAAGAGTAGAGAGCAAAAAATGAGTATGAGTGAAGAACCAGATTTGATCAGCACTCTTCCCGATTCACTTCTGAGTGACATTGTTTCTCTCCTTCCTGGGACTGAAGGTGTGAGAACCTGTGTCCTTTCCCATCGATGGAAAATGGTGTGGAAGAACATTTCACACCTCACCTTCAATCAGAGGCTAATGTTGAAGCATCTGATCGATGCATATCTTGAAAAGACACACCTTAGCACGCGTCTTGTTGCGGCTTTTACTCGCAAGATTGTTCCCTATGGAGACAGAGAAAACAAGGATCCAATTGCTCAAGCAGAAATGTTGATCAACTCAGTGTTAGATTCGCACTTGGGTTCCTTGAAAAGATGCACCCTTGTCCACATGCCCGAGAGTTGTGCGAGTGGTGAAGCTGTTGCATGGATGAAGAAACTTGCGGAGCAGAAAAGGGTGAAGGAGCTTTCCATGGAGAGGGATGGCCCTATTGATTTGAACTCCGTGCCACAGTTGCGGACTGTTTTGAGAGATCTTGGAAGGACACTGGATATACCTTTTGAGATTTTCTCAAGCTTTGAGGCACTTGAGTTGAAGAACTATTATGTCAAGACTTCACCCTCAGGTGCTGTTCCTGGCCAGACTTTGAAAACTTTGACCCTTACGAATGTGAATGTTGAGGAAAATGCTTGGGATGGGATTTTATCTTATTGTTCTAGTCTTGAAAATATAACCCTTGGCGAATGTAGTTTTGGTGTGGTAAAGATTAGTAGTCCACGGCTCAAACTTTTCAAGATTGGCAAAATGGTCGTGAATGAGATTAATGTTCGTGCTAGAAACCTTGTGGTCCTTGAGATTGATACTGTTGTTTGTAACCCTCAAAAGGTGATTTTTGAGACACCAAATCTTCAAATTCTAAGTTGTTTCTGTGATATGACTATTGGAAGGCGATATGTTTTGCCGGGTCAAAGCAAGCTTTTGACATCAAATGAGATTCTAAAAGCATTCACTGGCATTCAGGTGAGGGTTTCTTCTCCATTCTACACTCTCTTGAATTTTATTGTCCTTTTAATCATCAATAATTATAGAGTCGTACACTTACACGGTGTTTTTATATCCCTCTTTCAATTCATTTTTTTCCATCTATTTCTTTCTATTATATCACATCATTTATCATTTATTTTTTCTTTTTTCGACCTCATACACCCCATTTGTCCCAATACATTAGGCATATGAGTAACATCATTCTCCAACAATAACATTATGCTGTTGCGTGGATATATTTGGTTGATTTGTTATTGATAAGATTACTATGCTGTAATTGCAATTGCCTAGCTATTGTTTGGTACAAATTACATCTTATGCATGAGACCGACTTCATACCTTCATTTTAAGTTCATTGATTCGAAAAGTGTAATACCAAAAGTTTATTTCCTAAATACAAATGAATATTTTGTGTGTATAACGCTTAGGCCGCTCATTTTATGTTGAAATTGAACCTTTTATTAATTGAATTAAACAATAAAAATCAATCACTAAAATTTATCTAGGAGACTTTGATATTACGTGTGAACAACAATCAGGCAATCTTATTGAGTGAAAAAACATGAGCAATAGTACATCTTTGACATTTTATACTTAATGATTTTAGATGTTTAATAGAGTGATTTGAATCAAACTGATATGAATGTTAGACTTTAACATTATTAATGTTAATTTTTTTTACCATTTCTTTCATCGTTGTGTTTCTTTGTTGTCCCAGAGTTCTCAAGGTCCAACCGCAAGCTTTGCTGGTGCATTTGAGAGTCTGGTTATTCTACGTATTGATTTAGAACTGAAATTAATTATCAATGCCATTGCTCTCTTTTCTGCTCTTCAATCATGTCCTAAGTTACAGCACCTTGAAATTAATACCCAGGTGCGCTTACTTCGGCCATATATTATTCTTTCCAATTATATTATATTGTATTATAATAATAATAATAATAATAATAATAATAATAATTATTATTATTATTATTATTATTATTATTATTATTGTATAGGTGCTATTATACAGGTTTATATGCTTAATTAGTGTATTAAATAACAGTTTTCTTCATATTACACAGTCCTATGATGCAAAGAATCACTTTGGTGGGGATTATGATGATGAACCTGGCAATGATGATGATATTCTGTCTTACCCCAAACGCTTATATTGGAAGCGAAGGGAACTGTGTGAGTGTGTGGAAAACCAACTAAAAACCCTTTGCATAAGGGGATTTTCTGGCAAGGGGTTGGAAGTGGAATTTCTGAAATATATAATAACAACTTCAGAAACCATACAGAAAATCACTGTTTGGTTTATTGACAATTGTTCATGGGCAGAAGCCACTGAAACTCTGTGTTTGCTATCATTTCAGAAAGCCTCTAAGAACCTGTCCATTGCTATCAACCCTGGGCCATCGTACATGGCAAACGTAAATGGGAGCTTTGAACAATGGGTCTTGTCTCTAAGGAAGTAGTAATGGTTTCTGGTGGCCATGACCGTTTAACTGTGTTTTAGATGCTATTTCTTGACTTTGAACCTTGAAATTTGCTAGTTTCTTGTTTTATGTTTGTTACCCTACAAACTATGGGTAATGTTTATCGTTGGTTTCAATAAAATTGCAGTTAATGTTATTTATATACACTCTTGGGGGCACTTAAATATCGGTGAGAATATTTGATATGTTCTGAATATTGTCAAGAATGTTATACAATGCGTTTTGAGAATGTTTTATATTTTGTTTAGTTTAAATATTATTTTTTTAAAATATTTTTTATTTTTTAAAGATAAATTTTATTTACATCATAAACTAAATTTAATATTCAATTATAATAGCAAGTTAACAATAAAGATTTTAAATATAAAGTTAACAAAATGAAGAGTCACATAGATTAGGTTTAGATTAAAGAATATTTAGATGTATAATTATATTTTTATTTTATAAAAAAAACTTCATAAAAATGTCAGACTTCCATTCCTTCCATATAAATATTTTCTTGACAAATATAATTAAAAATATTTCTAAAATGTTAGTTTTTTTAGAATATTTGTTAAAGTACCGATACCAAACATGAAAATAAAAAATAATTCATAAAAGTAATTAAATTTGTTCGTTTCCTCATCCACTCTCCAATATCTGGCAAATTGATAATGAATAAAATAATTGAAGAGCAAGAAAATAGCATAGTAAACCATATCTATATTCACAAATATTTGCACTTATTACCCAAATGTTTATAACCTCAAACTGACGGGGGAGAAACAAGAGGCGTGAGTGACGAAGCAATTAGATTTTTTTTTTTCAAAAAATTACTACAAGAGTTATTTACATTTTTTAAAATATGCAAATCAATTAGATTTTAGTTTTTTTTATTTCAAGAATCATTTTTTGTTTGAACTAATAAGTGTAAATATTATAAAACTAAATAGATATCTTCCAATTGGTTTTCTTAAAAAAATTGACATAAGTAACGAATTATTTCAAGACTTTAATTTTAGTGTATTGTCACCGTAAAAAATACTTTTATAATGTCAACTGATTAAAATGTATTATGAATATAAATTATATGTTAATTATTACAAAAATTAATAATTATTTTTATATAAAAATTTATAAATATATAACAATGTAAAAATTTTACTCTGTCAATATAAATAAAATTCTTGTTTCAAACGACTAACCAGTGTTACTTTGTTCTTATCCTATTGCGTCGTTGTATTGGTTTAACCTTGTCCAGTGAAAATTAAGGTGTTAGACATTAAGGTCGACACTGTTAATAATTTATATAAATAAAAGTATTTGTTAGTTTAACATATTATAATATTTATAGAATAATTTAATTTTATTATATAAAAATTATCAAAAAAAATCTTAACGTTTAACAATCTTTATTTTTTAATAAATGTTTAATTTGTTTATAATGTAGCAAAGACCAATTAATTACTTTTTTTTTTATTAGTCAAAAGAAAATATATTAAATTCGTATAAGGAGTACCTAAATTAAAGTCATACATATTATTTAAATGACAACTATATCTTTACTAATTTCATACATAACAAAGGTTGATCTAGATAGAAAAACAATTAAACTCATTTTCCGGTAAAAACATGTCCAAAATCTTAAGTATATCATATCCATTACTTACTCAGCATTAAGATCTTTCTTAATATAAAACAATTCCTACATAGCCATAATGATGAAACACAGTAGCAAACCAAATGGAATCCCATTTTATGTCCATAATATTATTGGATATTAAACCACAATGTTGCATAAAGTGGTTTTTACATATTGAAGGGAAACTTACTTGAACTCCCAACTATTTATAGCATCTACACCAAATGTTGTATGAAAATTTGCTTCTAATAAAAGGTGTTATGATGTTTCTTCCTTGGACTGACAAACAATACTTCTGCATTATTTATTGCTTATTAATACTCTCTTTTTTTTTTCTTTTTTTATTTACTCTTCAGGGATCCTATATTGAAGAGAGTTTTCCAACAAAATGCTGAGAACATTGGAGGAACGCTAAGAACTTTGGAGGAACCACTTTAAACTAAAAATTGTTGAAGAATCCACCACTCCATCGTACCTTTGTAATAACCTGTAAGCTGTATGGACTGAGTAGCTTCCACTTGAAACTAAGGTTTATCTCCATGCATCTGCTACATTTTTCTGAATCTAAACTTTGCTAAGAACCTGCAAAAGTTCTTGTAAAAGAGTATGTTCCATTCAAACATATGTCGTCGCCATCGAATTACTTGTGTTGTATAAGAGCAACGAGTTACTTGACATAACGAATTAATGCAGTTTAAATGTTTTATGATTATCCCATTCAGATTTTTTAAAAATATGGCAAATAACACATCTAAAGCCTCTAGTAAAAAGTTGGACAAATTTTGAAACTTTGACACTATAATCAAATATGGTGTATCAAAGAAAACTTTTATCACTTGAAATAATTTTATTTTACTGATAAGAAATCTCATGCCACATTCACAAGAGTCTTGTTTGATAAGGCTTGATTTTATATTTTGTCCAGCAAAGGATGTAATTATTTTTGCCCAATGCCTTAAAACTTTTCATTCTTACAACTACTCAATATATGAATTATTTATTTATTTATTTATTTATTTATTTTGCAGAGAATTTAATCATGATAAAACAATCTTCTTCTTTTTTTTCTTTCTTAAGGATCACATATATAAACAAAATTTATACTGATTTAGGGAAAATCATCTAAAATACAGTATTCTACACTAAAATCTATTAAAGCCGTATTTAATGAAATTAAGGAATAAATTAACTAAAAAGCTGAAATTTAATTGAAAGATAAGAGAATTTCATCTATCTAAAAGCTTATTTTATTAGCCAGAAAGGTCATTTTTTAAAAAGTAGTTTTGTTTAGTTAGATAGATAGGATAAATAACTAGCATTTTTTCAAACGATATTTTAACTAATATTTTTTCATAATACTTTTTTTTTTTTTTTGCTACGACCTCAAAGTGATTTTTTTTTTCATTTTTCTCTCAGCTGTCTTTTTTTTATTTTTTTATAATTCAATATTTTACCTCTTCAACTTTTATAACTTTATTACTTTTACCTCTTTCATGTTCAACTTCTTCAACCCACTTTCTTCATTTAATCTGATTAAAGTATAACTAAATCATTAAATAACAATTTTTTACAATATAAAATTTATTAAAATAATAATATAATTAATTTATATTATTTTATTTTAATGAATAAGAATATTTTAAAGTGAGAGTGAAATTAATATTTTATTATTATTTAAAATATATTATTACTAAATTTTACATTATGAACTAAAAATTAATGATGTTTTTATTTATCAGCTTATTTAACGATTAATTTTATCAAATATTTTCAATTTAATCAGCATTTTTTTAATGTTCATCTTTCAGCTTATAGTTTTCAACTTTCAAACTATTTTTTTAGCTTTCAACTAGCTTATTCGCTACTTGTATCAAACACACTGAGTCTAGAAATTAATTTTTTTAATACAACATTGTGATAAATTATAAGTTGTTTATCATTGTTAAATGGAATTAATTTTAGAAATTAATCTTATTTTCGTTTAATTTCAATTTTATTTTTAATTGATAATTTTTTTCATTTAATTTCAATTTTAATTTATTTTAAATTATGATAAATTATATCAACTTAAAAGTATTTAATTTTAGATAAAATAAATTATAAATTATTATAATATTAATTCAAATTTAGTTTTTTAATTTCATACATCATATAAATAAAAATATGTTTTCATTTTAATATTTATTCTCCTAATTTTTATTTTTATTTTCAAAATTACATCTCTATAATGGTTTTTTTTTCATATAATAAGATATAAAATTTAATTTAAATATACTAGTAATGTAAATAAATTTTACACTGTCACTTAATTATGAATTACCAATATTGAACTGAATTTATCTACTCCTTCGACCATCCACTAATTTCTCAACGTCCCGACATTAGTTAGCAAGTAGAACCAAGATTCACAAAGAATAAGAAAACAATTTTGAAAAACAGAAAAACTATATTTCTATTTTCTTAACAAGCACTGCATGAAAATTTACACCATCTCCCGTGAACCAAACACCATTTCACTTTCCCTTTAATAATTTATTATAAATTTAACTAATTAAATAGTTCTTAAAAATATACTACTTTTTTTAAAATTAGTCTTTATAATTTTTTTATTATATTTAATCCTAAAAAAATTCTTTTTAAAAGTAGTCATTCATATCAGAGCTTCGAACATAGAATGCTAGTTTCAGTTGTGTCAAAAGCTTAAAAAGTATTTAATTTTTAAATAATATCTTTTTATAGAATTAATTTCTATTAAATTTTTTTTTAGTCACGTAAATTTTAATTTTTTGAAAATAAATCATATTTTTATATTTTAAAACAGCATTCTTAATTTAGATAATATCTTATATTTTATTTTTCTTATGAATATTTGACAAGTTAACGTTATCTGAAGTCAAATTAAATGTAATGTTAAAAAATTAAATTAAAATAAAACTAGAATTAATCAACTTATAACATTTCAAAGTTTTTTTAATTCTTTTATTTTTATTGTTATATGAAAAATGTTTATATTTCTATTGTTCAAGGTAAAATTGGATATGATCATAATAGGTCTTTTTATTTCACACAAAATGTAGAACCTCTATATTATCTCGGTCGAAGAAAAATAGAAATATAGGTCCAAAGAATTACAATAAAATAAATATTCCTATCTCACATAATTTAACTTCTTTTAATAATTTTGAGAATTCTTTCCAAAAAATAATATTTTGATAATATATAACATTAACTTGTCGATTATTCTTAAGAGAAAGATAGAAAGATAGACTCGAAAAATGATATTTTAAATTAAGATAATATTAACTGATTAAGTATTTTTAAGAAAAAGATGAAGTGTCAAATATTATTTAATTTAATAATGTTGATTTAAAAGATAACAATTGGATTTATTTTTAAAAAATTAAAATTTTACAAAATTAAAACAAAAGAAATTAATAGAAGCTAATTTTTTAAAAATATTGGATTAATTATTTTTCAAGTTTTGTCTCGTCTAACATTAGCATCTCACCTAACAAGTATGAGGTTGAACATTGTTCGTTTAGTGATCACGACACTCACTTAATTGTAAGAACTATTTTAAAAAATAAATAAATTCACATGATTAAATTTAACAAAAAAAATTATAATAACTAATTTTAAAATAGAATATATTTTGAGGAACTATTTATTTATTTATTTAAACGTTTATTATATCGTATATTCATTAATTGGAGAAAATATTTTCGTTTCTCTATTTTCCTTTTCCCATAAGAGTAGTGAAAGACGATTATTGCAGGAGGTTCGGCAAGGTATTCAATAGCTAAGATAAATACAACCGTAGTTTACGCAACTTTTACCCTTTAGGAGCGGAAATATTATCTGAGACAGATCATCACATTACAAGGAAACAAATTTACTAGTGAGTCAGTCACTCCAACGATCCATTTTTGCTTTGGAGACAGTGTTTAAGTACTGTTCAAGTCTTTAAAGGACTGCAAAAGAAAAACGTTAATCGGATCGGATATAGTAAGCCTTGCTATGCCACCTAGACAGGCCAAAAACATCCGTTTAATCTGACTAAGGGCTCAAAAGCAGAAAACCTGAGGTGTTATTGGTGTGATTCTATACGTTCAGGTTTTCTTATTGGTAGTGGTGAATGACTTGATGCTTTTCCATGTTATTTTGTTTGTCTTCTTCACCTTTAACTTTTATTCACTATATCTTCTTCAACGAATTGTGTGGCAGAGGAATTCGAACCTCATTGTTTAAGGAGAGAAAAAACAATATGGAAGGACAAGTAGGGGATTCAAACATTGATCTTAACGAAGGAGAGGATTTGACATCAAAACTTCCCGATCCTGTTCTTGCTTTGATAATTTCTTTTCTTCCCATTAAGAATGCAGTGAGAACAAGTGTTCTCTCTCCACGGTGGAAAAGGCTGTGGAAGACCACACCAACCCTCAATTTCGACCACAAGCTTATGCTGAACCCCCAACTTCAAACATCTCTTCACTCTTTGACTCCAACCTTGCTAGCAGCAATTGACAATGCAGCAAATCTAATATGCTCACCGCTAGATAAACACGCTGGTAGTTTAGAAAGATGCAAAATTGTGCATCTCATTGAAAGTTGTCAAAATGAGCATGCAAAATTTTGGATGGTGAAACTCATAGAGGAAAAGAGGGTGAAGGAGCTTTCTATGTAGTGTGAATATTTGCAATGTTGGGATCGTACACGAGCTTTGGTGAGAAATTATGCTTCCACCTTACTTTTGCCTTTTGAGATTATGAATCGTTTTCCAGTGCTCGAGTTGAAGAAATATATGCTCAAGATTTCACCTTCACCACCTTGTGAGCGTTCTCGAAATCTGAAAACCCTCAAACTCTTATATGTGTCTCTAACGGAAGAAACCCTTGAAGGGATTCTTTCTAATTGTTTGTCTATTACGAAGCTAAGTCTCGTTGGGCTTAAGATTAATAGTCAAAGTATTAACTTCTTAGAGCTTTCAGGAATGATGGTGCGTATGATTGATGTTTATGCTGTAAACCTTAGTATCATAGAGCTTGATACAATGATATGTAAACTAATGGGGCTGGCTATTGACACCCCAAACCTTAAGATTTTCCGTTCTAGTTGTGATTTGGAGTGTGGAGAGGTTCATAATTTGGGGTTTGGAAGCATTGTTTTGACAACTAGAGAGATTCCGGAAGTTTGCAGCGGTTTCATGGTAAGTAATGCATCTTTTCAAATTCACCTAACTATAATATATGTATGAATGGACCCATTTATGTAATGTTTCTTTCATATAGTAGAGTTATGTAGCAGAGTCCCTTTTTCTTGGCTCAGAGTTCAAACTAAGATTTCTCAATATTATTTTTCTATTTAATTTATTTTCTTCGTGGCTCAGGTTCACGGAGGTTACGAACATGCCAATATATTTAAGAACTTGATATAAATTTGAACTTTGTAAGAGATGCCATTCCTCTTTCTTTCGTTCTTGGATCATCCCTTTCTTTGCGGAATCTTATAATTAATAACAAGGTATGTCTATATAACCAAGGAAGTACATATACTTATAAATGATAAAAGTGTTCCATTAACATGCGCATTCATGTCAGGCATTGCTCTTTAAATACATCGCTAAATTTTATATATTTTTTATTTTTATCAAAACATTTATACCGACGCATATTGAAATATTAAAATGGTTAAATAACGCGCTAGTAAATTTATAATAATTCATATTCATTTTTAAAACATTAATTCTTCTTGAGACTTAAGATTTGGATTAATTTTATATGTTTACTACAATCTTGTCTTGTGATTTTTAAATATTGTCGCATCTCTATATTTTTGTCATATCATTTATTTATTTTGTTGCCTTAATCTATAATTCTATGTAATCTATATAGCATACATACCAATTATTAGCGATGTATATGTTACTTGATTTTGGACCTATATTGCTTTTCGTTTTTTATTTCTCATTAATTCCCTCTTTACTATATTCTTTATACTGAGATGAACTAAATTCTTATATTCTTAATTACTTCTCACGTTCCTACAACAGGTTATAGATCATGTTGAAATAGATATTGGTCCTGCAAAATCTTCTGTGACTAATTACGGTCTCTCTCTACATGGTAGTCTACCATATCCTAATACCATGTTTTGGGAGAGGGCAATGTTTGGCGAGTGTGAAGTGTGTTAGCTACAAACTGAAGACAGTTCATATAAGTGGATATGAAGAAAATGGACTTGATATGGAGTTTTTTAGGTTCTTGATAATGATTGCTAGAATGATAAAGAATATTACCATTTGCTTTGATGATGATTGCACTTGGATAGGAGCTGCAGGAACAGTGTGTTTGCTATCACTTCCAATAGCCTCCATGAATCTATCCATCACTCTGAAACCTGGGAAGGAGTACACTGCAAAGGTTGGTGGGAGCTTCGGAAATTGGATCTCTTCACTGAAACTGAACTAAGGGTGTGGTTGCAATTAAATGGCCATGCATAATGTATTCTCTGCTGAAAATGTATTTGAAATGTTGTTAGCATATTGTTTTTTAGAACAATCCTTGAGCACCACGTTTTGTTGGTGTTATTTAATTAAATCTTGTATGATTATTAGTTATAATATACTTAAGTTTCTTATGTCCTTTTCTTTTTTATGATAAATTGCCTTTCATATTTTTGAATCCACGGTATACGCTTTTGGTATCTGAAAATCCGTAAACCACATAGAGATATAGTCGAATATTGGAAGACACTATTACGAGCCTCCAATGAAACAAACAATACGTAAACAAGACTAATGCTAGATTTTTTTTTTCTTCTTCCGTCATAATTTATTTTTATCCATTGCTAACAATTAAACGTTTACTTTTGGTCTTAACTCTCTCTTTTTTTCTTCAATAACAACCGCAGCATTTTTCATCTACAAGACTATAACTCAACTAAAAATGTTATGTAATGTGAAAATAATTATTGTCTTAAAAGATGTAATAATTTTTAAAGTATATATGGTAATCTAAGACATTGTGTAATGTACCCTGATATTACTAGAATTTTATTATAAATTTAATGGGAAAGTTTTGGAGCAGTAATGATAATTTTAATTAGATGCAAATATATTCAGGGAAAATTTGAGACTCAGGTTTTATATCAAGATTGTGCATATATATCGACTTTTGCACAGTAGTGTAAGTTAACTTAATTTGTAGTTATATATTTTGCAAAATCTAGGCATGAGGATAGAATTTAGGCTCTATTTAATAAATATAATTAATCAAAGTATTTTTTTAATTTATTTCAAAGTATTTTAGAGCCAAATCTATAATATATATTTTTGTATGATAAAAATGTATTAAATAATATTTAAATCAAATTATATTTCCAAATGCACTCATGTTATATTTAGGTGTTGGTAGTATTATTGTGAAGTCTTGATTTGGAGATCAGAAAATTCTTAAAACAAATTACTATCAAAGCCTTTTTTTTTTCTCTTTCTTTTATTTTCTCTTGCCAATAATAATAATAATTTTTAAATAATACTTAAAAATATCTCAAAAAATTATTTTAGAATAAGAAATATTTTTTTTTACATAAAAATAATAATTAAATTAATAAAAAATTGAGATCACAGAATAATGATTTGACAGGTTAATTTTTTAAGTTTTCTTGTTAAAATAATTATTCAACAATCGAAACTAGATTGCATGGAAAAATAATTTAGAGTCTCATGTCCCAATAATAATAATAATAATAATAAAATTTAATTATATTTTTTATTCTTATAAATATTAAGCATTTTTTTATTAGTTCTTATTAAAAAAATTTGTTAATATTAATTTTTAAAATGTTAAGAAATTAAGAATAAATTTTAACAAAAATGTTTTATAAGAATTTATCACAAAATATTTAATAATTATAGAGATCAAAAACATAAATATGTCTAATAATAATAATAATTTTTATGAAAGAAGGTCAAAGAGAGGAGTTGTCTTACTCGACAACTAAGGATGGAAATATATAAGACGATTTAACAAGAACTTATATCTTAACATTTTTAAAATTTAGTTTCATTTGTTTTATTTAAGTAATAAGTTTGACTTAAACTTTTTGAAAGACTTAATTAATTAAATAGGTTAAGCTTGAATTTAAAAAAAAATTATCATTCTTGATAAAATGATCTATTTAAAATTTATAATAATATATTAAATAATTTTATATAAAATTATAATTTAATATTATATTAAATAATTAAATTTTAAAATAAATAAAATCTTAAATTATAAATACTAATATTTTTTATTAGAGTTGCAAAATACTCATGTTACATACCTTTTAAGAGAGCGTGTTGTGCTTGCTGGAATATTTTGTATTATTGTTGTTTGATGTATTTTTTTCCATTAATACTTTTATGCTTTACTTTGAAATAATATTATTATTTGTGTATTTTATATTTTTTTATGCATTTAATAATTTTATGTTTAAAACTTATTTAATTGTATTGTATTTGTTAATTTAAGGTATAAAAATTTATGCAACTATATTTGTTTAATGATATAGATTGATGTTCATTTAATTGTGTTTGTTGTACATTTAGTAATTTACTTCTTTAAATAAAATATGTAATTTGAAAATAATAAATAAAAATATATAATTATATTATAAATATTTAAATTGTTGAACTATTTATTATTTTATTTTATAAACACAAAAATTTCATTAATTAAGCACTAGCGTGTTTAGCCCATAACTACAAGTATTGACCATTATGTAATAATTCTTGCAAATCAATCCAAAACAAATAATTTTTCCTAGGCTTAACCTTAAAAAAAGTTGTTATAAACTTTTTTTAATTTTTACTTTTAAATTTATTATATTTACTATTTACTTTTTAAAATTAGACAAACAGATACCAAAAAATTGAAAAGTCAAAAATCAAGAAATATACACATGAAATAAATTAAAATATCACAAAATGAAATAAATAAAGTAATTAAAATAATTTTAAAAATAAAAATTTAGAAATATTAGTCTAAGAGCACATGCTGCACATGTATTTTATTTTAAAATAAATGTACATATAATTCAATAATTAAAAAAGAAAATTTTATAAACATGAAATATTAAAATATATTATAAAGATCAAAAGATCTTAAAATTATATTTTTTTATTCTTATAAAATTAATCAAATATAATACACTAATTTTGTATATATCAATAAAAGTATAATTTACATACATATATTATATTGAAAAATGAATGTTAAAAATTACATACATTTTTGTAAATATGATTTTGTGGTAGTTAGATAAAAATAAAACATACATTAATATTAAAAATAATTTTTTTATTATTATTTAAAGAAAGAACATGAGATATAGTATTTGAGAAGAGTACACGTTTTGATTAAAAAAAATAAAGGTTATGAACTTGGCAATTTCTTACATAGAAAGCATATTTATCCACAAAACTAATTATATTATTAAAAAATTTGATTAAAAACACTGCAAAAAATATATTCAATATTATGAATTATATAAATGTAAACATAAATATTTATGAGAAATTTAAAATTTATATAAAATATTAAAAAATTATAAATATAAACATAAATATCTAAAAAAAAGTTTATATATAAGGTAATGAGAAGACTTTAATAAATATAAAATAAGTATTAAAAAAATTAAAAG